GCCACAAGCACGATTCGCACGATTTAACCATTTCTTAGAACCTGTTCTTTGATGCCCGAGGAGCTTTCATAGTATTTTTCAAGTATTCAGGGACAGCTTCCTCTACGAATTCACATTTTAGTTTCCATTGAGTTTTAGAGCCTATTCTTCTTAGAATAATGCCTTATCCGAAACAATGAAATACAATGATGAGACACGATTTATTGTTACAAGTGAAGTTTTCAGTGAAACTTGAAAAGTTTACGACAAATTCTGTGTATCTTGAGAAGTATGTAAGTATAAAAAACGATATAGCTCATCATTCTTAATTATTTATATAGGTAATATATGTATGTACAAAGATTGATATTTATCAGTCGTTGACGCATAATTTGTATCCTTGTGAGAAACTGCATGGGTTTTTCTGAAACTGATGGGATCTTTTATTAGAGATTATAATCTGTAACAATAATTTATTGTGTATCCAAAAGATTTTATTAATCATCGTTCGCGGATGCCGAAACTTATTTCTCTTGGGAAGATTTAGTAAATTTCCAATTTTTGTGAATTCACAGTTCCTCCAATCCTGTTTCACGGGATCCCATGGAAAAAACACGACCAACTTCACTCCCGTCACGTAGCGGATGCATCCGAGGCAATTTTACGGTCGCATCATTCAGGCATTTTCATTTTCGGACCGCCGGTTGCGGTATTCCCGGTGTAACCGTTTCGTTGCCCACGCTCGCGTCATAAATCATGCACGCTTACACGTATTCTCATCCTCGCGCGGGTAGTGTTAGTATCCTCGGCTTGGTTGGCATTGTCCGCGAGATCTTCTTTCGGCGAACGCGGCGAGACGGTAGAAGTAGAAAAGTCGCGTTTTTCGGTCGCGTAAACGCGAAGAACTCGCCCTTTGAATAAATAGTCGCACGATATTAATTATGGGATGGTAGTTAGCATGCAAGCGACATCCACGTGCGCTGAAAAGCCAGGGATTTCTATAAAAAGAAACTTCCATATATATACGTAGATATAAGATGAAACGACTTACTATTTATCACTTTATGGGTGGTTTATCGGTTAATGTGAAAATTGCTTGAATCTCTACATATATAAGCAAAATAAATACAACTTTATAACGAGAAATACTAAAATATTGGAACATCTATTAACAAGAATTTATGGGACTGTCTGGTTTACAAAGGAAAAGGGATATAGTAGTTGAGATTAGAAAAGAATCGACAGATTGCAAAAAGCTTCCTCGAGCTGTACGTGCATCTCCAGTTAGAGGATATTGACGATAAGACGCGAGATTTTTCGTTTCTTTGTTCTTCTTTCTCGCAGCCCCTCCATTCTACGCGGATTCGACTTTAATAATTCACGTCACGCAATCTTCGATACGAAGCCAGCCGGAGGAAATACTCCTGGGGAATTTGCTTTCGTGGCACGCGGAAACAGCCTGAGACCGCGTGTCGATATATTTTATTTACTGCCCCTTTTTCCATTGATTCCTCGTCACTGGTTGATCTATGGATTTCCTTTCGGTATCGTTCGGCATCTGTTATTCGCACTTGCTAGCCTCTGTCGTATATCCTTGTATGTTCACTCGAGCGTCGTTAAATCTTGTCAAAATGTAGCTTAATCTCTTTTAGTTGTGTTTCAACACGACCTGAGACGAAACAGAGAAAACGTTGTGAAGTTATTGGATTTCACTTCACGTACAGGGATTGTCGCTTATTCTCATTATGGTGATTTTTACTTCGCGAAAAGGCTTGCGTTGGATGTTTTATTCTCAACTAGACTGAGAGTTAAAAGTGAATACACAGTTCTTAAAGAAGAATATTGTATCACATTTATTATTATATTTTTCTAATATCAAATAATATAATTTTGAATAGTGTTACGCGTGTGCAAAGTGAATAGAAGTAAATATCTATACCTCCCATGCATCTTTTAAACTATGTTTTTATGAATCAAGAATATTGGCAAAAAGTAGAGTAGAAAAATCTTTTATAAATATGTTTGCAATTTTGTGATTTGTCGAGTACATAAAATCTAAGATATGCCCTTACTTTCGACTGTAGTGGGATCACTATAAATTCCTTTTTCCGACGTAATGTCTCCTACATTTTTTTCTCACTAGAGGAATAGTGGCAATGTGAAGGATGTTAAACGTGACCCTTTTGCCAAATCTAGCCTTACATTTGCGAGTGTCTCGTGTTGCCATTAATTATTTCTCCAAATATTTTACTATTTATCCGGAAGATCACAACTGATTTAATGTTTATTAGTGGTACATATTTTAATCGATATGCTGCAAACGAATTCTGTTTCGTACTTATAGCTTGTTTTAATAATCTGCTAATTAAATCGATAAAATTCCGGTTACGATAAACATTTTTTGTTACGGTCTCAAAGGCGCTCTAGGGCGGTACAAAAAACGAATTTCCTCCTCAGGAAGCTTCTTTGCTATCCCCGTTCTTTGTTCCGAGTGAAATAAGACTAACGACGAAAGTAGACAAATTCAAAGGGGGATAATTCCTTTGCCCGAAGCCGACCCTAAAGTTTCCTTGAGAGGCGACTCTAAGAAGATTGAAATACCTGTGAAATAAATGCGCGTTGATTGGAAAAAGGGTCGCCAGAATTGGTCGTAACGAGTTTATCCACAAAACAGAAGCATTCACGGTGATAGGTTTTTAATTCGCGATAATAGTCTCCCGCAGACGATAGTTTGAAAAATATGAAACATTCTTACATGAACTTGCTACAGAAGCCTTACATTGGTTCAATTTAAAAATATTATTGCAATTAGTGTACTAACGTAATAAACAGACGAACACAATTACGATACAAACTTATGGATAATAAAGTTGCATACAGAAATCAAATGAAAAGTTCAAATAAGGGTCCAAAAAATTAAGATTATAATTCTACAAGAAAATGTAATGAATTTTCTTTAAATTTTATGTTTTATAATAACTAAAATGTTTTAAAGTATTAAAAACGTTTTTACGTAAAATACTTTATCATATACAGTATTTCAATTTTGATACTTCGAATCAATATTTTACAATTGTCACATCTGCATGATAAATTCTAGGATACGTTTATAACCATTAACAAGTAGATAAAAATGAGATTAAAGAGTTACAGTGCTATCAATAAAAATGTATCCTGCATATCGAAACTCCAGTTTACCGCGTATCATCTGAAATTATTCGACATTTGAAACTCATTCGCACGTTTTACGCGCGTTTTATAGCAGCTTTTTGCGCGCGCCTGTTCGTATGAGAATGTTACTGTTGATGAACGTGAACAATACCGTCATCATCGAGGATACAACGCGATTTTCACTTCTGGGGGCGCGTGAACGCGGCTGAGAACCATAGAAAATCCGATTATTCGAACCACTGCCTACTGTACGAGAGAGAAAGAGTAAGAGAAAGATTTCTCATTCTGTGCGATATGGTGGTACCGGATTTCTAAACCTGACATTGGATTTGTGGGAAAATTACAATATAACGCGCGCTCTTTGGGTAGAGCGGAACCTATGATAGCGCTTTTACACACGTAAAACATGCATACACGACACGGTATGAGAAATTGGCGAGGCGTGACACATCGTTCAAGCTTGTTCGATTAGTCTGCTTCCGCAGAATCTAATCATTTGGTGTTATGGTTCCTGAGTTTTATCTAGTAATCTACTTCTTTGTATTGAATAATCTATAGTAATAGAGACATAAGAGTTATTGCATTTTCTGTTATTGAATTGGGGATTAAAGTATAGGATAAAATTATTANACCAGAAATTTGATTACGATTCGTTAAATTCTTCGTTTAATTAGAGAATAATTTGAAATGGACTGGATTGTAATTTGGAACACAAATTGTATGCAAAATTCAGGTAGATAATGTAATGTTTAAGTATTAAATACTAAATATCGGGAAATTTATACAGAAATAAAATTAGATAATTACTGAACTGACAATATGAATATATTAATTTGAATGAATACCATGATTCAGAGCTGTGCACCACCAATTTATTTTATCTCTCTTTAATCTGTGTTGGAAAGAAAACTGAGAACTTTTCTCGTCGTTTAACATTTTTTGCCCAGTTCGTCTCTTTACGTACGATTCACAAAACCCAGAAGGCTAAATCGAATGCTAACAAGCGTTTCTGTAAGCCGGTAAACTACGAATTCCCTTTCCTTCCGGCTGGACATTCATTAAAGCGCAAGAAGAAAAAATTTCAAGGGAAGATATTAAAATTTCTTTGCACGTGGAGCGTAGGGTTAGGAAACGGCTACGAGGACGGGGCGAGGGAGGATTAAAGGAACGCGAATGTCCCGGTTATGAGTTTTACGAGCGACCGGATCGAACCAGAGAGAGCACTCTGCCAAAACTCGTTGAAAATTCCAATAACGCTAACGATTTTCTCTCGGACAAATGAGCTACTGGTATGCGCGGACGCGACGGGTATCTTCCGATACCGCGTGGCGTTCCGGATGCTCGCCCGAGCACTCAGGTCCCATCTCATCTCCTTATCAAATTCCTGTTCGATTTGCGGAAATATGCTGCTCTCACTCAGATCGTTGACGCGATTATCAATGGACCCTGGCATTCTGTTGCTTTCTCGCCTTGAGAAAAGCGTCAGCCTTGCGGAAACTTGTCGATTTTCGCCCATTATCCTGGACTCTCCTGTGCTAAGAAACCTGCACAACTTCTAAAGTTTGTAATCTTGATCAATACTTTAGCGTAGATTGCCTTGTTATAGTAATCGCTATAGCAATCACTTCTTTACTTATCCTCATTCTTTTTAAACTTACCAAGTTACAAAAAGCGAACAAGTTTGTAGAAAATTGATTACAGGTTCTGGTTATTATTTATCATAGGAGTTTTGTTTAGACGAGAAAAATGGAGTTCATGGAAGTTCCAATACAATTTTAATTTGAAGAGATCCTTACTTTTTAATATTATAATTAATATTCACAGATTAATTACATTTAGTTATATCACATTTCATTACATTTATTTGAAATTTTATGTCAACGGTAGGAATTAACACATTGCTTACTTAGTTTAGTTTTACCGTTTAAATCGCTGATCCTCTATCAAAGCTACTAACAGTAAGACTCTGCGGGTGGGAATTAAGAGGCGAGTAAAAGCTAGAGCCAGGAAAGAGGTTATTTACGACTGTGCTGGACGGCTTGGTGAATTAGTATCGCGGGTTGTAGGGGGCAGGAAAGATTATCCACGCGACGAAACGATTCGGCCACGATTTACAGGAAAGCCATTTTGCGGAATAAGAGTGTGCTCGAATCTGTTAACGAAGATAAGGATAGATTATAGACGCGGTGGTTAACTTCTATGTATGTATGCACGTAATGTAAAAAATGTAGCGGGACGGTGTACCATCTCGTTCGTTGAATTTTTATGGTTGTTCGCCGGCCCAGTTGGCTGTAACGCCCTCCCAGAAAGTACGATAGTATTATTACGCTCGGAGATCTTAAAATATTGCCTGCTCGTATATTTCATGTAAGTGGACGATTTTGCTGGCTTGGAACGATAGAGGAAAGGAAGAAGATAGGTTCGGAAGCGAGGAAACGCAGATCCAGATGATGCTTTCGTACCAAATGCGTTCCTCTTCCTTTCAATAAATATATTTTTGGTGCACGATGCAATTTACTCTTGCGGTCACGTAGTACGTATTTGTGACAGTTGTCTCTAAATTATTTTGTATCACAGAATCTTCTGGATTATATTTGAAACTAGGAATATTACTGAAACTCAATCGATCAATGTGAAGCGAAATGTACGTGAATATTTATTGAAAAAATTTAGTTTCGGGTCATAAAACGTAGTTTGCTATACAAAAACTAATCCATTATCAGAATTATAATTTCATGTTACTTCCACGTCTTTACAATCTTTCTTATGGTTTGATTACTAAAAATCAGACTTCGGCAACGATTTTTTGCGCGCTTAGTAAATGACTTCGGGGATTTAGTTGATTCTTGCTGGCTTCGCTTCGATTTCCAATGAAATATTCGGATGCAGTCCTGAAACAAATACAAACGTCGTTTCTTTTCTTCCTTATCCTTATTATTAAATTCCGTATTATTATACTATTACTATTATTTTTATACCAGTTGACTAAAACAGAGCTACATTACAAAATTTTCATAGTCGCGAAACAATTTTCGTTATCATTTACGTTTCTAAAGTAGTCTACAGGTATTCTGCTTGCTGGCTTTTTTCACTTTTTTATTTATCCTCATTGATTGTTTCCATAACGTAACTGTTATTTTCGTAACTTGTCTCCGTGCGGTGCAGTGTTTGATATTCGATCAGCCGGTAGCGGCGATTAATTGCGCGCGGACCGCTCGATGGAATTAAACTTTTCGCCTGTTAATTGCAGTTTGCGTACAGGATTATTAGATTCGCGGGCAGCGCAGCTCGTTTCGTGGCGCGTTTTGTCGATAACGATAGGCAAACAACTTTGCGGCACCACTTTTCGATTCCCATCGATGGACGGTATCGACTTAAATTAATTCCCCCGTATTGTTACACAATGTAACCGATTTGATTTCTGGTGCCAAACTTATTCGAACGCGATCTATCGATCGGGTGAGAGTTGACGGACGCACAATGTGGACTGCTCTGTTCATACTTACATACAGCGACGCGACGTAACGTCGCATCGCGTCGCGTCGACGAGATGACAAGATACACCCAGGTCGGAACTCGATTTCCCGGGAACGTCACCGAAGGCCGATAATTAACGCTTCGCATTGCGACGCGAATGAAATTATACCAGACGAAATATCTCTTCCCCTTCAGCGAGCCGGAAAGATGACGCAACCAATCCTCTGATTCGTCGCTACGACGAAGTACGAAATTTAAATTCATCACTGCTGATGAAAGGATTATATGATGATATATGTACACGTAAGAGGTATAATCACGTGTACGATAATTAAGAAAATTACATGCAAAAATATAAACCTGAATAAATTTTTCATCTGTTTTAATTGTACAAGGCATGCGGAAAATTGAGAAAGTATTTGAAGCCGGTATTTTATGCATTATAATCAATTACCGATAACAATTAAATGCATCATAGACAGATAATAATAGATTGACTGATATTTATATTCAATTGCATACATGAATATTTATATTATAACAATGCATTCATTTGGCAATAGTGTATTTAATTTGAATAAGAACATTTTCGGGTAAGGACAATTTTTTAATTAATAGAGTGATGAAAGAAATACTTGCACGTAGTCTTTGGTTTATGGAACCCTCGTATTCACGACGGAGTGAGAAACTCTTGTAACTCGACGTTCATTAACACACAACTCTCGCCCAACATCACTGTGGTCGTTGCGGGGTATCGTCGTCGCAAGTAACGACGAATAATTATACACGCCTAACGCGCTGCCGTAAAAACAGGATCAATGATTTCTCCGATTTCGTCTTACCATTACAAATGCTCGAACACAGTCGTATTCTAGTGGTTTCTATAATAAAAATATTTCTTACTAAAATTCGTAGGATTCAGAATTTCATTTAATTAAATTCGTGTGAAACATAATTGCTGTCGCTATATATATAACTAGATTATTAGTCTAATACGTTTACTACACAAAGTGAGAAATTTAACTAGGGATAAGTGACATTCATTGATTTTATGATGCGAGTTTTGAAAAAATTGAACGTCGTTAGTTGTTTATTCTGATTCATTCTATATGTATAATCCAGGAAGCCAATGCAGTCAGTATTTTATGGAAATGAGTTCAGTTGAATTTATAAATAAAATTAGAAATTATAAGAAAAAGTGGAACGTTATTTAGAAAATGAAATGAAATTACGTTTTCAATCTTTCTCGTAGCACACTATGTTTCTACTATCGATTATATTAGTTTTGCAAATAATTGCGTAGACGAATTGAATTTTTTACGTTGCCGATTAAAATGTTTGTTCCTATCTCCTGTATGCGCAATTTTGTTAGCAAGATAGGAGTGAGAGAATCATTTAGACTGTTCGTACAACACCGGAATACATCCTGCACGATACTGCTCGCGTAGTCGCGCGTACTCTGTCGTACTACACGTTAGGTAGGAAAGCAGCCAGGCACTCACGAGCTTTCCGACGTGGCAGGAAGAAAGGGTAGGTGGTACGAAGAGTATGGGAAGAGCAAAAAGGGGGGAAAGAGAGACGACCGGGTTGACGGTGGGAAACGCGAAAGAGAAAGGGGGTAGACGATGGTGTATATCGGCGGGATGGTGGAGAGTTCGAAGGTGGCGGGTGCGGAAGAAGACGAAGAGGAAGGGGGGACGTATAGTAGTAGCGTCGTCAGTATCTACCTGCTGCACCGGTAGCCGAGGATATAGACGAGGGGGTTATTCCACCTACACAAGGGAAACTGTGCCGGTAGCCGGGTGCTTTGGTGGCAATGGATAGTGGTTGAAGGGTAGAGGAGAGAATCCAGTGGTGCCGGGTTGCGTCGATGGTGGAGACTCCGCTCTCGATGGTAGTAGTAAGGACAGTGGTTGGTGATAGTGTCGTGGTAGAGGAAGAGATGGTGGTAGGTAGTGGTTGGTAGTGGTGGCGAGCGCTTTGGCGTGGTAGTCGCGTAGAAGCGGTGACGCGGATTCGTGGTATGTAGTGGTAGTGGTAGTGGTTGCGAAGGTAGTGGTAGTTGTAGTAACGGCAGGGGTGGTAGGTGGCGGCGGCGGTGGTGGTGGTGGTGGTGGAGGAGAGGGTGCGGCATCGTCGATGGTGGTTGTGTTGCTGGTGGAGGAGGCATGGGTTGGTTCCAGTGTTCGCGCGGCCGCTCCCTGTCGCACACGAACGACTTCACCCCAACGCTGCCGGCGTTGCGACGCTCTCGCAGTCCGCCGCCAAAAACGTGCTCGCGGAAAATACGGAAGTGTCCGTTCATCCTTTGATACGTTCGCTCGTGTGCCGTTTACCTCATCCGCTCCACACCGTTCCGTCGGTTCTTCTAGGTAGTCTCCCTTCGCGGAACTGTTCAACTACGTGCGGATCGTTCTCGCGGGTCGAGAAGGCTGCGTGCGAAAACGCGTGGATGACGCGAGACGCGTACCAAGTGTGAACACAGGAAATTGGAGCCGTGTTGCTCGTCCGGTTTTTATCGTGCCCGCTCGACACGTGGACCTTTTCCGCTGTTGCTCGCGCAAAAGTGCGCTCGATTGTGCCACGTATCGGTGTCTTCGTCTGTGGATAATCTTAGATAATTAGTTCTGCTTAAATCAGTTTTGTCTGGAAACGTTCTTGTTTTTGTGTGGATGTTTGAAACACTGTGAAGGAAAGCGGATTTGTTGCGTATTTTAGTGTATAAATTTTATATCTTCGTATTATTCCTACCTCAGTGAATGTAATCTATCGTGTCGATTCTATTTAATTAAATTCGTTGAAACACATATCAGAAGCAGTGACCACGGTGCAAACCAACAAGTGTCTTAAATCAACAAGTCGAAAGTAGCAAGCTCACGGCGGATATCGGAGTCTCCTCTTCAAAGAAAATTGTCCTTCTATCGCTAATTGTCGTTCTATCGACGGATAGTGTCTAATGTCGAGCGATAAATTTTCCAATCGTATGAAGATGGACAAGACCTTGTATGGGATAATGACGAAGCACTGAACGTAATTGCAGCAGGTGCAGTTGTGCCATACCAGGGGACTCGAACAATCGACGTCCAGAGACACACGGAGCGAGGTGTCGACACGTGCCGCTGACTCGTTCCTAAAACGCGTGCGCTGTTTTCGTTAATAATTGATGCTTAAAGCAAGCCAAGAGACGTTGCGAGTCCCGTAGAAAGCGACAGAAATACGTTTTACTCTTCCGTGATAAAATTACAAGGGACTCGGATCTGTTATATATAACATTTTAGGATCCTTCCCAGCGTCACGTGTTTGAAAAAAGTTAAACGACCGCATCGTTGCTTCTTCAGACACCGCGTGTCGCGTTCGCAAGAAATTTCGAAAGAAAGCTTACTTTCATGGAGAAAAGAGCGTTCGATGCACCTTGAAAGGATACGAGAAAAACTTGCACGCTTCCCGCATCGAATATTGATAAGGCGGTTGGCGACGCGTTTCGGTTTCGCTTAAAATCGAGTGGACGGAATAGAAGAAAAACGAAATCAGAGATAATCGCGATATTCACTGCGCGCCCCCATCCCGTCGTTCGTTCATCAGCGGACAATAAATTATTGCCCGGTTGCATATCAACGATATCGATTTTCACGGAAGTTTTTTACTGGCCTGATCCACGACCGGAACGTAAATGACGTAACCTGAGTCTCTTCAACGGGGCTGAAGCGTGTTTCGCGATAAATCTCTGAGCCGAGGGCAGAGTGCGTGAAATTCGCGTCACACCAGGGACCATTATCCTGCAGGACGAAACGCGTTAATTATTCTCGCGGAAGGATGCATGATAATCGTGGCACGCGGAAACTGGTCTTCGTTCCTCGACGAGTCATCTCCGGACCACGTTATTAATGACTGTAATCGAAGGATCAAACCATTTGGTAGAACAATTTTCTAATAATCGTCTATTCGCACATGTGAACGTTTTATCAACCTGACCAATCTTTTGATACCCTTATTCGATTGGATATATCGCATTGGATACCTTTTGGATTATTTTTACTCGAAACCGTCGAGCTTCTCAACAAGAGGACCAAGTACATCCAGGCTATAATTGTCGCACGAACGGTGAACAATTTTGGAACATTTAATCGATATCACTGTCGAAGAAGTGGCGAATACCAATCGTACAAATGTCATCGATCACTGGGGAGCATTAAGACTTCCCTGTTGTCGGTCGGAGTAACCTCGTCGTCGTTGCTCGTGTTTCTCGTTCTCATCGTAGCCATCGAATTCCAATTATGTCGCAGCAGCACCGAAGAGGCTCTGTACACACTGGGAACAGTAGTCCCGTCCCCAGTCATCTGGCCACGAACGCGGCTGTCTCCACCTCTCACGAGGTACAGACGAGAGGGATACCTTTGCCTGGAATGGTACCGTCGCGCTCTATTCACGGCAATCCTATGCATGGGAATCCGATCCACGGGTTCGTCAACCCTCTCGGACCTGCCGGTCTCGTTCATTCCCCGCCTACGCATCAGTCGGTCCTGTCCGGCATTTCTCATCATTCATCGGTCGTCCATCAAGGTACCATATCGCTTGGTCGTCGTGATCGAGCTACGAGATCGTCCAAAAGTCAACAAAAACGAATAAGAAAGTGTTTTACCGAAGAAGAATCGATCAAGTGGGGGTAGCTCGTAAGAAGTAATCTTCGTTTTTCAGTCCGGTCTGATTGCACCGTGTTTTTGACGCTGTTTGAGTTCCACTCGGAACGGTCCATCGTGTTCCGCTCTGACCTCAGGGTGGGTCCGTTTTATCGCAGAAGTGCTTGTACGTGGGATTACTCTGCAATTATTGAATGGATTGGCAATTGTGCCGCGATGAAGAATAAGAAAAATCGTGGTTTGCGAGAAAAGCAGCATAAAATATTGGCTGAAAATGAATCAGAATTATAAATCAATTGATATGAAATTCTCTGTGGTTTTACACGGAACGAGTCTCGGAGCCAGCAGTCTTTGATAAATATTTTATTAAAACCTTATGAATTACTTTTGTAAAGAGAACTATATTGTCCGTTTTTATTACTTTATATTTCCTATTCATTAAATTTACTCAAATAACATGCAAAGACAGTCTTATGTAGACTTACTGTTGAATACAGTGTGTTAAATTATTCAGTGCTGGCGCCTATTCATGGAATTAAGTAATTACACTGCTTGTTCATATAAAAAATCCGATTTGGTCGAGATTAAAATTCAGCTGCAGATTAAAATCGTCAATCAGTTCGAAAAACGGTCCTTAAATAAATAGTTACCAGCGTTTTTTCCTCTCGTTGCTTTTTAACCTTTGAAAGAGTCGTTCCAAAACACGAGTGTTTGATCAATTCAATTTGTCCTATATCTCGAATAAAAAAAATCGCTGGCACAGTCGCAAGAAAATTTCACGTCACCACGACGTGCACGTGTATAAATTGAATTATTTTTTTTACAGTTGTAGCGTATTTGTGAAAAAATATGACAGTATAGGGTCATACAGTCTGGACTGAAAAAGATCACATCAAAGCTTACTCGGCGTTTACATGTTCCGGTCGTTTCCAATTATTCTAAAAGTCAGGGCGGAAACACGGCCGACGCTAGAATGAAATTGCAACATTTTTTTTTCTTCATTTCATCTTCGTACCTGAGATAGTTCAAGCGTGTTTTCGAGCTACAACCACGTACTTAACTGTTACAATGAACGCTGGGTCTCGCGTTTGATCTGTTCTTCCCTTATATGTTTCTGTAGGCACTCTGCTCGCAAACATGCTACAGAAGTCCTATTTCCAATTAGTTTATTCTTCTCCTTGTACAGCTTGTAAATCTATTATGATATAGTTTCTTCTACCCAAAATTGTTTATTATTATCGCATAATGATTTCTTTCACATTTCTAAATTCATCGTCAGTAACACTACACATACATTTTCAAATTCATATTTATACATTATCAAGTACTAATCTATAAGTACATAAAGTTTTGCATAGTGAAAAAAGTTTATCAGCAAAATATATTTTATCCAGTAATTAGTATATTAGAATATTGAAATTCGTATACAAAACACATTACATTAGAATTAAGTATTAAAATTGGAAAGTTTAAGTTTCCAAATATGTTTCATAATTTGAAAATATCTATCTACCATATTTCACGTAAAATTCTGAGTGTATTTGACACGCGGAAGTTATCCGAAACTATTTGAGAATTTTAAGGCGAGACCCGACGTTCCTTGGAACTCAATCCACGATCGATCTCCCTGAACTTTGTTAAACTCGCCTTCTTCGGCGATCTCGCCGCGACGTGCGATCCGCGACCAAGCGGGTCCACCGTAGCCAATCCGTCACACACGAGAGCGCACTTCTCGTTCGATTCGAAGGCGCGGACAAGATACAACCGCCCGGGTCGCCGTATTCCTCGCACGGGTCTCCACTGAGAACGGCAATGAGTTCCGGTCACGGAACCCCTCAAGATTCGCCCCACGCGGTAAGACACCGCAGGGACTCGGAACACTCGTCCGGCGTCGGTTCGCGGCGCGGCTCTTCGGACATCGTCTCGCCCATGCCTCCTGAGGCTCCCTCGGGGTCGCCGGATGGACGGGCTTCCCGTCGACGATCGGACTACAGTCCCCATCAGGGTAAGCTCCTTTCCTTTTCGGCTCGTCACGCAGCCGCAACTGTGTAATGCGCGGCCAAATTATTTTCACCTTCCATCTTCGTCTTGCTTTAAGCAGCTTTCAGTTTCTACAAATGGAGCTCATTTTATTATATTAACGAACTATTCTATTATGCATTACAAGGCAAATTATGATATAACGAGTTTGGAGAACGTATGAGTTTATCCTGTGAGGTACAATACTTCGTCCCGTTAACGAGATATCAGCTGATCGGCGTATGTACGTGACGTACGTACATACATTTTGACGATATTTCATTAATATATAATGATCAAATTGGATCTGACATAATTTATTTCTTTCAATTTATGTTTGGAACTGTCTGTATACCTCGTGTAAAACAGTATTAAAATTAGGTATGAAATGAATAAAATATTTATATATTATA